CCCCGGGTGGGGTGGAGGTGAGTAGGGGTATTTTGGTAAATGTGTTATGGTTTTGGCGCTCAAGTTTTTTTGGGGGTCGAAAAAGGAGGGATTCACAAAGCGTCGTGATTTCGTGATGGGCTTGCAATTTGGCCCGTTATGAGATTTCGGGACGACTAACTTCAACTAAATTGGGCCCATGCAATTTGGCCCAATAAGGGTCAGAAAAGAAGTTAAAAATGTCGTCGACAGCAGGATTCGAACCTGCGCAGGTAGAGCCGGAGGAAATTAGAAAGCGCTGTGATTTCGTGCTGGGCTTGCAATTTGGCCCGTTATGAGATTTCGTCGACCCAAACATCAACTAACTTGAGCCCACTAACTTGGGCCCGTCATGATAAAAAAAAAAAAAGATCGTCGACAGCAGGATTCGAACCTGCGCAGGCAAAGCCCAACAGATTTCTAGTCTGTCTCCTTAACCACTCGGACATATCGACTTTTTGGCAAGCCTTGAAGAAGGATTACTTTACAATCCTTAATGATTTCGTGCTGAGCTTGCAATCTGTCCCCTTATGAGATTTCGGGCAGAATAAGTCGGCCGAAACATCAACTAAATTGGGCCCAATCATGGCTGGAAAAAAATATCGTCGACAGCAGAATTCGAACCTGTCTCCCTAACCACTCGGACATATTGACTTTTTGGCAAGACTTGAAGAAGGAGTGCTTTGCAATGTCTAATGATTTCGTGCTGGGCTTCCATTCTGTCCCGCTATGAGATTTCGGGCCGAATAAGTCAGCCCAAACATCAACTAAGTTGGGGCCCAATCATGGCAAAATGAAAAAAAAAAGGAAAGAATGTCGTCGACAGCAGGATTCGAACCTGCGCAGGCAAAGCCCAACAGATTTCGAGTCTGTCTCCTTAACCACTCGGACATATCGACTGTTTGAAATTTGATACCTTCCTTTATTTTGTTTTTGTAATTTAATGATTCTTTTGACGTCTGTTCTTCAATCTCGCTCGCTAACGAAACAATTATCCTTCTTGTCGGAGGAATTAGGGTTCCGAGAGGAACGGTGGTCGTTAATGGAGAGGAGGTTGTCTCGCCGGTGAGTTTCCGGTTATGGAACTGTGTAATCCATGGAATTTCCTGATCGCTCGAGATCGCCGGTTGACCTCATACATCGAGATGATATCTCTTCAATTAGTTGAAATTCGATCCAATTTCACTAGAACATCTGTTCTGAATCAGAATTCACATTGAAAAGAAACAGGATAAAGAATACACAAAATCAACCTCAGGAAATTATCGTCTGTCATTTCTGTACAATCAGGGTTTCATTTCATACAATCCAAAAATGGAAAACGGAAATTAAAAACTCGAAAGAACAATCTACCGAGAAGAAACTCTTTTCATTAGAATCCGAGTCATTTTCAACCCCGTTAACGTAACATTGACGGAATTTACAAATCGCGATTTCGTAAACAATCCAAAAATCTCCCTAACTTCATCATCACCACATTCCTCAACAACGACCACACAGGATCCATAAGGACGAACAGTTCTCTCCATCTCCGACACAAATCGAGAAGGAAACAACGCCTCAGCCAAATGAGCAGAAAACGCCAAATCAAAAGCATGATCAAAAAACGGCAAATTATGCGGATCAGCACGAGTTACCAAAGGAGGCGAATCAACCAATTCGACGCCAGTGACATCAAGAACTCCCATCTGAGAGAGCGCCATGACCTCGTGGCCAGCGCCGGCGGAAACACAGAGGACTTTGGTGTGGTTGTGGAGAAGCCCTAGATCGCGAAGAGCGTGGAAGAAATGGAGGAAGGAGGAGAGGTTGTTGTGCCAGTGTTTAGTGGACCAGAGGCGCTTGTTCTTCTTGTCGACGGAGAGGATCTGGCGAGGAGTGGAATCGCAGGAGGATTTGGGGAATTTGAGATGGGATTTTGGAGGGGAATTTGGGGGAATGCAGGTTTGTGGGGTTTGGAGGAAGAGGAGGAGGAGGGTGAGAGAGGCAATGGCGATTGAAGCAAATGAGAGCCTGTTGAGAAAAAGGCGTACGTGCCGTTCCATTCTCGATTCTTCCCCAATCCAACAATTTTGGTTTTTATATTATACGAGCAAAAACCTTCATACTAAAATATTAATGGTTTAATTTTATCATTGTTTTATTCGACTTTAAACTATCAATTTTATCGGTCCCTAAAATTTTGACCATCCGTTATAGATTAGATTTTTTTTTTGACAGGTTTTATCTTCACTCACATGTTTGGTCGTGTTTTAGAAGCTATGTATACTCACCTAAGTTTTAATGAAATCTCGACGACCAAGTGTCTTGATCAACTAGTTGCCCGTTACATTTGTTCACAATGACGGCACTTTGTCTGCTTTGATATAAACGGTAACGACTTGACTTTTCATACACTTAGCAGTTAGAGTTGTCATTAAGAAAACGATTTTAGAGTTTTAAAATAAGTGAAAAATATGCAAAAAAAAGAAATAATTTAACGGTATCATTTTGCCCACATGTGAGATCTCACAATCCCACACAGCGGTTAAGATAATAATTTAAAGGTCGCCAACTATCTACTACTGAACGCCATCACCCACATGTGGAATCTCACAATCTACCCTCTTGGGAAAGCATCCCCGCTGGCATACCTTCTGGTGTTAACGGCCCCAAGTGGGTGAGATCCCGGATGTGGATTGTGAGATTTCACATTAGTTGAAGAGGGGAACGAAACATTCTTTGTTAGAGCGTGGAAACCTCTTCCCAACAAATACTTTTTAAAGTCATGAGAGTGATGATAATAAAAACTCACTTTACGAAGATCTCTTCCTTCTCTTCGGGCTCGAACATCAATTGCAATGATTCGATAAACGGCTCATTGGGATAGATGTAAATCAACAATACCCCCAGAACCGTATAAGAAGTTTTCTCCTCGTACGGCTCGAAGAAATCCAAAACGAACCATTTCTGTTCTGAAGGATGGTTCTAGCATGCCAGTCAGTCCACCTAAACACAAGTAGCCATCAATTCTAAGTAAGGTACAAGACCAGGTCACATAAGGAGGAGGAAGACCTCTCAAAGCCACAGAGGGCAAGGGTTGGTCTTATCTAGACCATCCAAGCTTCAGCAAGGACATGTCCCTGCCCTGTCCCCTAATGAAAGCAAACGGCAATACTCAACATCACCATCATTTTGACATTAGTTACATGGCAGATCTTTGAGTATTCAGTACCGTACTTGTTGAACGAGTTGGGCTGTCTGGAGGGCCTTTGATGTTTGCGAGCGCCATCAATTTTGGCATCTGTTGAACTCTATCAAGTCCAAATATTTCAGTTTAACAATGGGATGCAATGAATTTACATCATTTGAGTTCCCATTATATGATATTCATCTCAGAGGAGGGCTCAAAACTTAGAAGAATGCACTAAAAGAACACGAGATGGATATAACAAACATGTAAGTACTATTTATATGAACAGTAGTGTGAGAACACACAAATGGAAATCAATGTCTGACCATACATACAGTTCTTTGTTCATCCACAAAGGTTACGAAATATTTTCACCACGTACAAACACACCGACTGTTCAAGTCAACTCAATTCACTCGGCAGTCTTCTCTACCTTTGGCACCTGCACAACTTCTGCATTAAAAGCCCAAGAATGTCAGAAATTCTTGTGTTGTTGCCAGAAAATGCAGAATTTTGGGCATAAAACATGTAGTAAGTAAAGCGTGCAGCATATATACTCGAATCTTCTTGTGGGTTTATCAGCATATATATAAAAAAAAATACCAAGCTGCAAATTATTCATTGAGTTGAGTTTTGATATACAAGAACGCACATAGCGTGTCCACGATGATTAACTCAGTGTAATCACCAACCAGATATTTCTAGATCTTGAGACATAATGCTCTAAATATGGAGATGAGAATATGTGTGAGATCTCACATCGGTTAGAGGGAAATGAAGCATGCCTTATAGGGGCGGATTGTGAGATCTCACATCGGCTGAAGAGGGGAACGAAACATTCTTTACAAGGGTGAATTATGAGATCTCACATCGGAACGAAGGATTCTTTGTAAGGGTGTGAAAAAATCCTTAAAAGGGTGGACTGTGAGATCTCACCCCGACTAGAGAGGGGAACGAAACTGTGGATTGTGAGACCCCACATCAATTGAAAAGGGAACGAAGCATTCCTTGTAAGGATGTGGAAACCTTTCCCTAACAGGCGCGTTTTGAAAATCATGAGGTTGACGACGATACGTAACGGGCTAAAGTGGACAATATCTATAACGGTCGGTGGCTTGGAATGTTACAATATAAATCTATTTTTGCCTGGCATGGATTCAGAGAACGAGAGAGAAAATGACAATTACTTAGATGTCATGCATTAAAATGCAATTAGAATTTAGCTTTCATGAGTATTCACCTCATTCAACCATCTGTCGAGGAACATACATAACAGATGAACAGTGTTGTACAGAGCCCATGGACATTTAAGAAGAATGCAAATTACCGTGACAAGAAACTAGAAGACATACATATTCCGAACTTCTTATCTGTTCTTGCTAGGAAAGCTAAATGAAGAAAGATACCATATTGTTTATCTGAATCTCTAATAGAAAAGACAAGGCCAAACTCACAATTGACTAGTCTCACGTATGTCGAGAAGGCTCTAAAACAGTGACCAAACGTAACAGCGGAACCCTCAAGCCTACCGTTAGCCGTTATTGTTTTTTTTTTTGTTTTTCCTTTTGAGTTTTCCCTCAAAGTTGTCTACTAGAGAGAAGAGAGATTTCCACACCCTTATAAGGAATGATTCGTTCTCCTCTCTAATCGATGTGGGATCTTACAATCTATCCTCATTGGGTGCCAACGTCCTCGTTGGCACACCCCAGTGTTTGGCTCTGATATCATTTGTAACAGCTCAAGCCCACCACTAGTAAATATTGTCCGTTTTAGCCCGATACATATCATCGTCAGCCTCACGATTTAAAAACGCATCTACTATGAAGAGAGTCTAGCTCTACTCCAACCGGAAGTCAAAGTATTAACTGCACCATAATTTCCCAAATTTCATCCTCTATTCTCGCTTAGAACAACACCTTACATATCATTTCCGTGTAGAAAAAGTAGAATTGGAACACATTTCTAAATGAATGCTATCTGATGTTCTAACTTCCAAGGAAACTAGTCCATCACAGTCCAGAATAACGAACAAACTCACTCAGAAAATGACATTGAACAGACTGCGATGCATCATACAAGAAACCCAGCTTTCTAAATCTTAACGCTCATCATTTTTGCTCACCACTCCCAGAAATCTGATAATGAACCATTAACAATCAAGGCAATAAATCATCTATTTCCCAGCAGAAAAGGGGAAGAGGATCCAATGATGAACAGAAAAGATGGAATTATCCAATTTCAAGCAAAAAAACCTCATGATATCAAGTGATTAACAAAAAAATCAAGAAATTGACAAGCACCAAGGTGTTTACAAAACAAATAACACAAAAAAAAAAAAAAAAAAAAAAAAAAAAAAAAAAAAAAAAAAAAAAAAAAAAAAAAAAAAAAAAAAAAAAAAAAAAAAAAAAAA